CTTTTCAGTCTCCAGCTTTATAATGAGTTTTGATTGTTTCTCATTCTGCACACAGACTTCAGCACTTCTGATACACAATTTCTTGTAGGTATCAGCCAGTTCTTCAAATGTCACTTCTTCATCACTAGTGTCACTTTCAGAAGTACAAACACTAGTTAGGGCAGTAACTAGTTTGGCAGATTCTTATTCAGAATTACTTTCTGAATCATAGTCAGACCAAGTAACAGTCATTCCTTTCTTTTGCTTCTTAAGAAAGGTAGGACATTCAGCTCGAATATGTCCATATCCTTCACATCCATGGCATTGAATACCTCTGCCTTGGTTTCCCTTATCTTCTGACCTTGGTCTTCTGCTGGAACTGTCAATGTCAGAGGGAATGTTATGAACATTAGACCTTGACTTTGGGTCCATTCTTTTGATGAGCCTGTTGAACTGTCTTCCAAGCATGGAAATAGCTTCTGATATGTTTTCTTCTTCATCCTCCTTGTATTCAACATCAGTGTTGGATACAAGTGCTATGCTTTTGTTCTTCTTGTCACCATTATCAGTGATCCCCATCTCAAAAGTCTGAAGAGACCCAATAAGTTCATCCACTTTCAACTTGATAATGTCCTGGGCTTCCTCTATGACAGTTACCTTCATTGCAAATCTTTTAGGCAAGGATCTGAGAATCTTCCTCACCAGTTTTTCTTCTGACATTTTTTCTCCCAGTGCTCCTGAGGTGTTGGCAATCTCCAAGATGTTCATGTGAAACTCATGAATGGTTTCATCTTCCATCATTTTTAGATTCTCAAATTTGGTGGTCAACATCTGAAGCCTTGACATTTTTACTTTGGAAGTTCCCTCATGAGTAGTTTTGAGAGTGTCCCAAACTTCCTTGGCCAGTTCATATTGATGTACTAGTCTGAAAATGTTTCTATCAATTCCATTGAACAAGGCATTTAAAGCTTTTGAATTTCCCAGAGCTAACTCATCTTCTTCTTTACTCCAATCTTCCTCAGGCTTCAGACTGATTGTCCCATCTATCTCAGTTATGGTGGGATGAATCCATCCTTTGTCAGCAGCTCTCCAAGCTTTTTTGTCTAGAGATTTTAGGAAGGCAATCATACGAGGTTTCCAGTAATCATAATTAGTTCCATCCAGAATGGGTGGTCTATTTCCAAAAACTCCTTCTTTGTCCATAGTGCCAGAAAGTGATATCCCTAGATCTCACCCAGTAATACAGGCAGGGTGCCTGCTCTGATGCCAATTGAAATTCTGGCTGCAGATACTCAATGTCACGTTCAATGTTATGACACCGTATCTGACTTACTATATGACAGTAAATACAAAAGCAATAAAGAACACAGTCAATTGTTTACCCAGTTCAGTGTGCAACAACACCTACTCTGGGGGCTACCAAGCCAGGGAGAGAATCCACTATAAGAGATGTTAATTCAGGAATAAACCAACCAGTTTATCTCCTTCACTTAAGATCTACCCAATGCAATTCTAATCTAAGTACAACTTAAACCTGAGTTCCTACTCACTCCCCCTCAATCACAACAGTGATACATAAACCAATTTGACTTAAGAATTGATGAAGACACTCTTCAAAAACACACACTTGATTAAGCTTCACAGCTTTTTAATCAAGCAACACAATCACTCGTGCTTCACAGCTTTGAGTGATGTACACAACTAACTTGACTCTGCTTCACAGCTTTAGTCAAGTAACATTCAAACACTCTTGCTTCAAAGCTTAGAGTGCTACACAACCCTTACAATTTGAAACCTATTCCAAGGCACTTATCACAATGATAATTGCTTGGAGTACAATAAACAAATCTATACAGATTACAAAAATGATCTTCTAATCGATCAGCAGGGATCCTTGAAAAATAGCAGCTCTGTTGAATATATAGCAGCTGCAACTTCAGTTAGGGTTTCCAAAAACCTAGGGTTAATTCCGTTTGACCTAAAGACCAGGTCACAGGACTTTATTAACCAGGTTAGGGTTGAGCTAGGTTACCCCTCAGAAAACGCAGGATTCTGTTCAGAAAGGACTGAGTTATTTCCTGAAAAAACTCAGACTTATCTAATCCTGCAATCCTGTTAGTTCAGAACAGGATGTCATAACATCTGTTATGACATCTGAGAAAACCTGTCTACTGATTTAGCAAAATGTGATTATTTTGCAAAATGCTCAGATACACACTTATAAACATCAGTATATGAATTACAATATTTTTCTGCAAATGTACCTAATGAGTTAGTACAACCTGAACTAGAATGTTATGACATCAGTCATGACATTCACACATACACTTGGGATTTACCAAAAATGCAAGCCAATACCTAAACACCTACAAAAGTATTGAAGATGGTGATCTGTAACTGCATGCACTACCTGATATATGTTTTTGTTGCAATTTGTACAAAGTTTACATATTTGCATGTAGCTTGTGTTGTGGTTTTATTCCTCTCTCCAGGATTATTGTACATTGGTAGTTTTAGCCAAAATTTGCCAAAGTGGGGATTGTAAAATCCATGGTTTTATATTTGGCATAAATTCTGCTAAAACAATGTTCTGGACTGATGTTGAGCAAGATGTCATAACATCTTGACCAATTGTCATGACAGGTTCTGCTGTCATGTATATCAGACAGATGTTGAGCCAGATGTCTTGACATCTTGGCTTGTTATGCAGCAGGTACTGCTGTTTTATTTATTGACAGATTTGATTTTTTTAGAGATTCTTTTAGATATATCTCATTATTCTTTGCAGGTCAAGGAGATTTATCAAGAACAAGTGCTTTTTGAAAGATTTGTTCCTATTTTTATGTGAAGATCTTGCAGCTAATTTTAAAGCTGAAGATTGGATTTGATTTGAAGAGTTCAATCCCATACTGCAAGAGTCTTTAAATAAGGACTTGCTAAATCTAAAATAACAAGCATTCACATTGAAGAAGTCGTGGGTGCAACATAAGGATTAGGGTTTTGGGATTCTTTTAGGGTCTTTGTATTTTTGTTCTTTGTATGTCACTCATGTATATTTTGATGTATTGAGTTTGGTTGATTGTTACTTGATTTTATCAAGTTATTATTCTCACTCATGAGCTTTTAAGCAAAGAGTTGAGTGTTGTTCTTAGTTGAAACTTTTAAGAAAAACTAAGTATTTTTTATTTGAAGTGTAATCTTCTATTTGTTTCTTTTATTCTACTCATTGGGATTGTGACTGTAGGTATCACTGCGGTGATTGAAAGTGAGAGGGGATTCTCATATTTAAAAGTGTATAGGTAGAAGTTGCACAAGGTAGTGATTAGGGGAGAAGTTGTAAAATGAGATTATTTAGGCTTTGAACTAATATTATCATAGTGGATTTCCTTACTGGCTTTGTAGTCCCCAAAGTAGGTGATGTTGCACCGAACTGAGTTAACAATTAATTATGTTGTTTAATTTTCTACAATTTATCTCTTCTGTATAATCTCTGTTTTTCTGTCAGCATATGATGTCATAACATTTATCCTGGCATTGTGTTTTATGTTGAGACATAACATCTGTATTGCAAGTGCAAGAATTTCACTCATATTCAAACTTCTCAGTCCTCTCAACTTCAACATTATTCCTATGTATCCCTAACTTAGAGAAAAGTTTAGAAAGAACTCATTCATATGGTATGAGGAAAGTCACTTCCTTCCGTGAGTTGTTTATCACTTCTTTTAAAAAGTTAAAAATAGTAAGAGAAAATTTAATTCTGATGTTATATGTAAGGAATAACAAGAGATGCTTGTCATACCAAGTAAGAGTTTCCAATTCTTTCTCTCTTGGGTGTAGATTTTCTACTAGAAGTTGGAATAAAAACTTTAGAATTGGAAGTAGAGAAACATGATTTATGAGCTTATCTCTGTTGGCATAGATTCAATAAAGCTGAATTGAGTAGACATTGTTGAATTTATAGTGTTCAACATAACTACCAAACTCTTTACAGTTTATTGTCATTGCATTCAATGACTGAGTAATGAAGAAATAAGAGCCATTGACACTGGACTGGATGGTTTCATTGTCACCATCTAGAACTGCGAAGAATTCTTCTAGAACTCTTTAACGAGATCAACGTAGACGGAGCCATTTAGAATGTGAAATTAACCATTCAACATTTGTTTGTTAACAATTTTCCTTAGATCAAAACCATATCAACAATTGAAATCCACAAACTTTTATAATGAACAAAAGGTTTGCATCCATTTTTTATTTAAAAAAAAAGAAGACTTTGAAACAAGAAAGCAATACACAGAGAGTTGAAAATGAGACGTTGGAAATAGGAAAACACTTATAAATAAGGAAACAATACACAGAGAGTTGGAATTGAAATGTTTAAATAGCTCAAAAACCTTCTTGAAAACCCAAAAGATACGTTACAGTTTGAATATAGATGATCATTGATATTCTAGTGATATAATTTCAATGCATGTGCGCCATGTTTTAGTTTTTAAAACAATATTTTACCTCGAAGTTTAACATAACCGAGGGTAAAACAATCCTGGAACCTCTCTTTTTATTATATTTGTTATTTGTAAATTAAATGGTCTATCACATCAGTGTTCATAATAACTGAAGGATAACTTAGCGTTAAAAATTAAGGATATTTATCATTGTTTTGTATTCAAATTCTTGTCGTCCATTTCATGGTTATCAATGCTAACGACACTGTCATTAGTGATTCGCATGAAATATAAATAACTTCTATTATATAAGCATTCAGAACATCAAAAATTGATAATGAAACATCAGGAAGTTATCCTCCACTTTTAGGTTTGCAAGAATTTTTGTCATGAAGAGTTCTATATGATAGATTGTAAGAGTAGAAAATTATTTGAATATAAAGCTTGTGTTCTTAATTATTTATTTCAGCAGAAAATCATTTATTTATCAAACCAGTTTTTTGTCAAATCATTTTTTTCATATCAGAATCAGAAGCATAGCAGAAAATATATTGTTCTTATACATTAATTTAGAGTTTAATTAGCATTGACCGCAATTTTCATTCCCAAGCTACAATGACCGGGAACTCCACATATGAAATAGTTCATTCCCTTAACAAGTGTAATTTTATCTGCTCCAGAGATATGGAATCCAGATCCTCCAAAAGGCACACACGAATTATAGCCAAACTCTTTCACTGTCACCACATTATGTATTACAGGAGTGTAATTGAATACTGCGTGTAGAATAGTAGTAATAATTAGTTTATTGATAGTGCAATAATAAGGGATCTATATTCTTGTTGATGTTTAAACAAGTAAAATAGTATGTCTAAAATAAAGATGCTTACCAAGTATATCGCCTTCCTTGAAAGCCTTTCCCGAAGGCCAATTTTGAACACCAAAAGACCAACCTTTCTCATCACCAACAATGTATGTTTCTGCATGAATCATCTTAGGATGAAACACAAACATACATAATACTAGCATTGTAATAACACTTGAGATACTGACACTGCCTCTTCCCTCACCCATGTTATAACTGGCTAAATAATTTTGAGTGTTCAAAAGAGAGATCGGACTGATAGTTTTATAGTCTATAATTTTCTTTTGAAATACACCTTTCATTTTTTTAACATAAATGAAATTTCATTTTTTAAATTAATTTTTAATTTAATATAAAATAATTTCAAACATTTCAATTAAACATTTATTTCAACTATTTTATGTTTCATATTTAATAATATAAGTTTATTATGTAAATATTTATTTCACATTTAATAAATTACTTATTTTATATTTGAAATTATTATTTTAAATGTGAAATATAAAATAGTTGAAATAAAAGTGTAATTGAAATGTTTGAAATTTCTTTATATTGAATTATTTTTTAAATTATTTACTAAATTTTCCAAAACCAAATATTTTTATTTTTTTAATAATATTTAAATTTTATACAATATTTAAAATATTATAAAATATAAAATAATTGAAATGTGTAATTGATGGAAAGAAAAAGAGATAATTGAAATAAAAGTATAATTAAAATGTTTGAAATATAATTGTTCTAATATGGTAAACAAATAATATTATATATTTATATATATTTCATGAGGAAAAATATCAAAACAATGAGCTTGGTTCGATGGTAAAGTGATGTGTTGTTGAGAGAGTGATCTTGTGTTTGATCTTCTTGAGTAAAATTTTTTAATTATTTTTCTTAAAAAACTCTAAGTCTAAATAAAGAAAATGAAAGCCATGTTACATTAAAACTATTAATTAAAAACGTAATTAAGCAGTCCATGTCATTAAAAAATACAAAAAATGTATGTCATGTTATTTTTTTTATTATTGGATTTTTTTAGGGACAAAAACTAGAGAATCTTCTTAAACTTAAGGAGGCAATTCAAACTTTCTTTTAAAAGGGACTTTTCAAAAATCCTCCATATGAAAGAGGCTAAAATTATGTATTATATCTAGGTGGTTCAAATTAACCAATTATTTACATTAATATCTAAATCTGTTTATTAAAAATCAATTAATTATAAGTATGGTATTAACCAAAACTATATTTTGGATATTTTATTAAGATGGTTTTAACCAAATCAATTTTTTGGATATTCATATTTATAATAAACCAAATTAGTTTATATTTTGAAAATAATACATAAATTTTTTTTAAATCTTAAAGAAACATTTTTATAACTTTTTTCTTTTTGAAAAACAAAATCAAAAACGAAAAATAATATTTTTTAATTTTGAAAAATAATATTTTATGAGAATAAAAAAATATGATTTTTTTTATTTTTGATAATAAATATTTTTCTAAAAATAAAAAAAATTGTTTTTTATTTTATTTTTGGGAATACATATTTTTTCTTATAAGAAAAATGATTTTTAATATTTTTTGAAAAAAAATATTGTTATTGGAAAAAAAAGTTTTTCTTTTCCATTTTAGAAAAAATATATATTTTTCTAAAAATTTAAGAAAAATCTTTTTTTTGCCATATATCTTTTTTTGAAAGAGAATTAAAATTAGAAATAAAAAACTCTTGAAAACAAATTATTTTAAAAAAATTAAATCAAAACTAATTGTAAAATCAAATATTGATATAACTCATAACAAGTGGTATATAACCATTTTATAGTCCCATAGAGGAGTAAATCACTTGAATGGGTCAGAGTCTTATCGAAGATTTATAATAGAATATAGCTAACCGTTGTTTAACAGAGTGTGGTCAGGATGAGGACAAAGACCATATTTTTGTTTGTTGTGATTGTTTTGTAAAATTTGACAGATGATGTCGGGATGGTTAGAGTTTTCATCAGTGTCTCATGGACATTCAGCCAACATACTATTGTCTCCTTGGACATCCATGAATTCATTCTACAGGGGCAGTGACTTCCACATTACACCAGAAGATCAAGTTTGTGATTAATGGTAAAGTGTTATTGTGTGTGGAGAGAAGGACTATGTGGTCAGTCATCTGAGTTCTTTCCGATACATTGAATAGAGGGGGAGTGCATGAGACTCCATTTCAGGCCTTTGAAGTTGTTCAAGTGATTAAAACTCCTCGTCCTGAGATAGCAAAGCCAGAGGTCTCCATGTCTTCCCTCAAGCAAGCTCGTGTTATGGTTAAATCTGGTCATCCTGAAGGTTGGGGTCGCATATTGGATCTTCCGTTGAAAATGGATAAATTTGGTTTGGGATACAAGTCTTGTCAGGATCTGCAAAAGATAACTCCAAGAGTGCAAGGGTCTCCTAGCCCTATTAAATTTACAAGTGATGGTGTAATCCACGAGGAGCATGCAAATGTTATGGATGATGAGATTGACAACGATTATGACATGGATAATTGGATTTGTTCAATTGTCCCACGTCGAAAGCTCGCTAATTGGTCTTCCGAGGATATCATCCAAGTCATTATCATTCAGGAGTAATTTTCTTTTGTTTTAATCATGCAATAATTCCTACGCTCTTCCCAAGGAGTAGTGAATCATTTTGTAGGGCCATAATGTTTTCACTTGCAAATTTTTCAATAAATAAATGACGTTTTTTGCATTCAAATATTTTATTCTCTATCTTTCTTTTTTATGTTTATAAAAATTTGGCAATGTGTTTTATTTTATTTTGTTAGTCACATTCTAAAATAAAACATAAATTGTCCCTCATGCAGATCCACCTCCACCTCGGATTCCATTGATAACAATTCTACTATGGATCTCTATGACTTTGATAATCCAATTTACCAAATCGAAGATGAAGGTGAGGAAGATTGTGAACTACCTAAAGAGCTAGTCAAACTGTTGATGCAGAAAGATAAGGTTATTCAACCACATTAGGAATTTGTGGAAGTGGTGAATCTTGTCACCGAGGATGCAAAGGAAGAGGTCAAGATAGGGGCTTCCTTAGAAGAAAGTGTAAAAAGAAAGTTGATAGAGATGTTTCAAGAGTTTGTTGATATCCTTTCTTTGTTTTATTGTACCCTAAAATTTGCCCTCTTTTTTTAACCCTAATTGGATTATACTTCCTCATTACATGCATACATACATGACATCGGGTCTAAACTCATGGAATTGAGGCATTTCTCTATGAAAAGAATTGTGAAAATTGATTGTTCCGTTAAGCGGCATTAAAAAGCAGAACTTAGGGTTTTCCGATTTTTATGCACGCCACACGTGTTCCAAGCTATCCAATCAGGGATTAATCAAGTCATCATCATATCCAGCTCTTACGGGTTTCAACACGCTTTGAATTATGCAAAAAAGCAAGCGTTTCATTTGATTTGAGACAGTGCAGACATAAATTAAGTACGGTGTGATTCAAACTCATAAATTCATAACTTGAGATTAGAAAATGGTTTGAGAATAATTCTTCGGTCATTAGAACCATCTTGAGGTCTTCTTCATTCCAACTGTTTAAGTCGAAAGTTAATTTTGTGAAGAATATTTTCAAAAGTGAAAAATTCCTGAAATGCGTTATACAGTGGATTTATCGTTTCTCTGGTTTTCCGATGCTTAAAAATTCGTAACTTCTGATCGAAAAATCATCTTTGAGTTCCTCTTGGATAGTTTGAACCATCTAGTTATTTCCTTCAATTCTCGTACTTGGCTCGGAAGCTAATTCATTGAGGAAGATCTCTGAATGTGTGAGTACTCAAAAGTTATACAGTAGAAAAACAATGAAAATAATGTGTTGAACCGTTGTTTTGCAGATATTCAAAAATTCATTACTTTCGCCCGGTTCATTTTTTCCAGGTGGTTATTTTGGAGAAAATCCATCTTGATTTTATCTTTGATCCGTATGTTCGGATCAGGAGCTAATTCTTTGCAGAAGGTTTCCAAATGTGTCAATTATCGGAGAAAATTGCACCCCGCGTTGGTTTTGTACCGGACTGATTTTAGATATAATAAAAATTGTAACTCTCTTGATTTTTATCGTATCGGGACGATTCTTGAAGCATGAGTTCACAAATTTTGTAAGCTTCAACATTGCTTCAGGGCCCGAGTTCATATTGTGCTCCGAAAACTTCGATTTATGGCGTGCATCCAAAAGTGCACACGGAAATAAGCTGAAGTCGTTCAATACAGTGAAATAAGTGCATTGTTTCTCACCACTAGAAAATTCATAACTTGCTCGATTTTTATCGTATCGCGTCCGTTCTTTCGGCACGACATCACAAATTTCATCATCTACGATTTTGTTGTTGGTCTCGCATTAGGATTTTTCCTTGATTATCATTAAGTTTGTGGATTTTCCGTTCGACTGCGTTTGCTGACACTGAGAACTCGGCTTTGTGAAGAAATCGATTGGCATTTCTATTATCCCAAACCAAGGCTCAATTGTCAATACTATATATTCATTTCCTCTCCCTATTTTAAGGACACATAATTAATTTACTAAGTTTCACACAAAGAGATTTCAAATATTCTATATTCTTCTCCCAAGATAAAAAAGGAATTCGAAAGCAGCATCTCCTCTCCCGCAAGCTAGCGCCATGCCGACCGCCACATACTCCCTCTGTTGCTGTCACACACGCCAGCTCTACTCGGCTCCTACCACAAATTACTCCCGTGCCCACCACCCTTAACCGTTGACCGCCACATCGCGTTTTTCTGCCTTCGTCATCCACTAATTTTCGGCGACTCTCCTCTCCTCTTCGCATTGTTCTGGCGTCTTCCTCCTCCGATCGCGATAATTCGGACAACATTAACATCATCTCCTCCTCTGATCTCTTCTGATTCCGGTAGTTCTCCAATTCCTCTTTGTGCTTAATTAATTTTGTGGATTAATTGTATAATTGATTTTGTGTACAATTGCTTAATTGATTTGCATGAGTTGAATAAATTGGAGAATTCATGAGTTGATTAATTTAAATCTTGAATTTATTTATTCTTGAATTGTTGATGATGAAAAAATGTGGATTAGGATAGAAATCCTTGGAATTAATGTTGATTATGTGATTTTACTGAATTTTGCATGTCGAATTGCACTTTGTTCATGATTGTTTGATTTTCACGTGTCGAATTTTGGT